TGAGGGGTTCTCCCTTATTGCAGCTCCTCTGACGAAACTATTGAGGAAAAATGTTCCATTTGTCTGGTATGAGAACTAACAAACTAGCTTTGAGAAATTGAAGATTGTTTTAACTCAAGCCCCAGTGCTGATTCAGCCTGAATCTGGAAAAGATTTTTCTGTCTATAGTGATGCTTCTCACTCTGGATTAGGATGTGTTTTGATGCAAGATGGGAAGGTTGTCGCTTATGTTTCGCGTCAATTAAAGTCGTATGAGTGTAACTATCCTATTCATGATCTAGAGTTAGCTGTTGTGGTCTTTGCTTTAAAGATCTGAAGACACTACCTCTACGGGGAAAAGTGTTATATGTATACTGATCATAAGAGTCTGAAGTATCTACTTACTCAGAAAGAATTAAATTTGAGACATCGCCGCTGGTTGGAGCTTCTAAAGGACTATGATTTAGAGATAGAATATCATCCAGGAAAAGCTAATGTAGTGGAAGACGCCTTGAGCTGTAAGACGATACCAGATCTCAGAGCCTTATTCGCCAACTTGAGTTTATTTGATGATAATAGTTTGTTAGCAGAGTTACAGGTTAAACCTACTTTGGCCGAGGAGATTAAGACCAAACAACTTCAGGATAGCTCATTGCTTCCCATTATTGAGCAAGTTAAACAAGGAACGGGTTAAGAGTATACTGTGAATCATGATGGTATTTTGTGTTTTCACGGTCGTTACTGCGTACCTAAAGATGATTAGTTGAGACGGGTTATTATTCAGGAGGCTCATAGTAGTCCTTATGCTATACATCCTGGCGGAGACAAAATGTATAATAATCTCAAGAAGCGCTACTTTTGGACTGGTATGAAAAAGAATATTTCAGATTTTGTGGCGTAGTGTTTGACTTGTCAGCAGGTTAAGGCAGAACACCAGCATCCATCTGGATTGTTACAGTCAATTAAGATTCCTGAGTGGAAATGGGAGTGCATTACAATGGACTTCGTTACTGGTCTTCCTCTTACTCATTCCAAAAAAGATTCTATCTGGGTGATTGTTGATTGACTCACCAAGTCAGCGCACTTTATCCCTATCCAGATTAATTATTCTCTGGACAAACTGGCTAAGTTGTACATTTCGGAGATTGTTAAACTTCATGGTGTTCCGTTGTCTATAATATCTGATCGAGATCCAAGGTTCACTTCCAGGTTCTGGAAGGCTTTGCACGAGGCTCTAGGTACTCGTTTGAATTTCAGCATAGCTTTTCATCCTCAGACTGATGGACAGTCTGAGCGAGTTATTCAAGTGTTGGAAGATATGCTACGGGGTTGTGTGATTGATTTTCGTGGTAGTTGGGAAGATTTCTTGCCATTAGCTGAGTTTGCTTACAATAATAGTAACCAAGCAAGTATTCTCATGGCACCGTACGAGGCTCTGTATGGACGTAGATGTCATACTCCTATATGTTGGACAGAATTAGATGATAGAAAAACTTTGGGTCTAGACTTGGTTCGAGAGACTGAAGATACTGTCAGACTGATCCGTGATCACTTAAAAGAGGCATTTGATAGATAGAAATCATACGCAGATAAGCGACGTAAGGATATCGAGTTTGAAGTTGGAGATCAGGTTTTTCTCAAGGTATCCCCATGGAAGAAGGTATTAAGATTTGGACGTAAGGGTAAACTGAGTCCGCGATTTATTGGGTTGTATTGTATTTTGAAGAAAGTTGGACCTATTGCTTATCAGCTTTAGTTGCCTTCCCAGCTCAGTTGTATTCATGATGTTTTTCATGTGTTTGTGTTGAGGCGATACCGTCCAGATCCAGATCATATCATTCAAGTTGATGAGGTAGAGTTGAGACCTGATTTGTCATATGATGATGAGCCTGTTTAGGTTTTAGAGAGGAATGAGCGAGTTCTTCGGAATAGGCGTATTCCAATGGTCAAAGTTTAGTGGAGTAATCGTATCCCCTCAGAAGCTACTTGGGAGACTTTGGAGTCAATGGAGGCTCAATTTCCTCATCTATTTTCATAAGGTAAATTTCGAGGATGAAATTTCTTGTAGAGAGGGAGAATTATAACAACTCGGAAATTTGAAAAAAATATATATAATTGTAATTTGAGGTTTTAATTAAGTAAATTGGTGAAATTTGGGGACTAAATTGAAAGATTTTAAAACTTATAGCTTGTTTTAGAGATGAAGGAAATTCAGGGACCAAGCCCTGAATTTACCCCTGGAGTGTCGACATTCACGCATTATAAGCGTCAAATTCATTCTGAAATCAGAATGAATTTCACCAAATTTCCTCCCTCAAAGCCCCAACTTCCAACCACGATTCCGACGCCGTTCGACCTCTGATCGTCGATTTGAAAACACCACCGTGTTCATCATTGAGCGAGGAACAAATCCCTTAAATTAATTGAAGTGAAACGCTGCCAAACTCCATTAATTTCAAGTCAAAGTCTCGATATTTTTTTAGCTCCATCACCGAGAAAATCTTAAATTCATCGCCGATCGTTGCCCCGTTTACGACACCTCCCACACCATCGTGTTCCTTGTGACGTTCCGAGTCCGCCGGTGTCATCTTTGGTCTCCATCGACGGTGGCGCGTGGGGAGGTAAAGCGATCAAAGTTTCCAATTTACTGAAATTGAGCTCTCTACCGTTCAAAAATTTGAACCGAGCTTTGTAAGTATCTCGAAATCGCTCAAAATAATTTTTAGAAATTTTTCCGTGATTATATGACACAGAATGAGGTCTCACACGCCCCCACGCGCCGCCACTGCACGTGGGAAAGGCTCGGCCAGTATTGAAACCGGTTTGACTGATCTGAACCGGGTTGACCAGTCCGAACCGGTCCGACCCCATTAACCCGACCCGACCCGTTGACCTGACCGTTGACCGTTGACCACATTTGACCAGAACTTTGACCGGCCATTAAACGACCGTTAATCTTTTCCGAGTATATCTATCATGATAAATTTTCGATGTCCCGAATCCGTTTTTGGGGTACGTTTCACCAAATTCGAACCTGAAAGTCTTCAAATTGTCAGTCAAACCCTTTGACTTTGACTTTGACCAAGAATTTAAATATCCGGAAGGTCATACTTTATGTTTTTTGACGTCCTGAATCTGATTTCGAAGTCCGTTTTGCCAAATTCTGACCCAAAATTCCCGAATCGAGCATGTGAATCCAAAAAGGCTTATTATTTTATTATTTTGATTATTTATTTGAGATTTGGTTAAGGAATTGATTCAGTAAAAATATTTTATGAAGGTACTCATGTTTCATCTAAGCAATGATCAGTTAGGTCCAATGTTGTCCGTTCGTTAAATCATCCCGAACCGCGTACTACGAGAATTACCCATAGGTTTCCGTATATTATTTAAATAAAGATTAAGATTATTTATATTAGGATTCCAATATGGATTTTTCCGATTCGTAGGATCTAGCGCTGCAGCAGAGCGTGATCGACAGACTCACTAGTAGGCTTCCTTATCTGATTTCTCAGATTGTTACAGGTGTGTTTCCTGACGGTGTTATCTTACTGTTTTAAACTATCATGTGAATTGTTTCAAATTTATGATGATGTTGAATGTTATTACAACACGATACATGTTTTCTGAATACTGGTTACCCGACATCTGATTTACCGGATTTTACTGATCTGATGTATGGTTTATGTAATTTCTGCATATGATTTTCAAGCATGAACCATTTTCATGTTTTAATGGATTGACATTTATTTTCACCTGAATACATAAATGTTTATTACTGTCAATGGGGTATTATTGAGGGAAGTATTTCAGGCTCCACGACTTTGTGCTCAGGGTAAGTCCTTACTGGTGTGCAGGTGAGTGTATGGTTCTGGGGAACCTACACATTTTGGTGATTAGAGTGATTGGATGGGAAAGTTAGTACTGCAGGCTCCTCGGCTTTGTGCTTAGGGTAAGTCTTTACTGGTGTGCATGTGGGTGTATGGTTCTGGGGAACCTACACATTTTGGTGATTGGAATGATTGGATGGGAAAGTTATTACCGCAGGCTCCTCGGCTTTATGCTCAGGGTAAGTCCTTATTGGTGTGCAGGTGGGTGTATGGTTCCGGAAAATATATAAAAAAATAATAGAAATCGGAATGAGTGGATGGAAATAGTGTTCATAATTTTAAATAAAATAAACTTGTTGATAAACTGATTTTACTGGAATATTTTATTAGTATGTGTTTATATACTGTTGGAAGCACACTGTGCTTTTTGGTTCATTCTATAGTTTTTACCCTTTTTCAGATAACAGCAGACCGTAAGCTAGCAGATTTGGCATCAGGGGAGATCAACTACTTATTTTGTACGAACGTATATCTCTATATGTTTTTCGGTTATGATTTGGTGACATGTATTTGCTATCGTTTTGGATATATCTGTATTATTAATATTTTGTTCTATATTATATCTAATGTATTATAAGTTCTTTTAAAAAAAATCTCTGAATGGGATATGTGACCACTTAGGTTTGGGTCTATCTTACAGACCGGGTCTGGGGGTTACACTAATTGAAAAAAAAATATAGATAGAGATATTATTGCTAGTATTTGTAAATATATGAAGTATAATTACATTATTTTTCAAGTTGGATCAAATTAGATATTTTTCATACTAAATCCAAATCTGACATGAATTTATCCTCTAAAAAACATGAAATGACCCGCCCAAACCCAATTTTTAAAAAATTTGATCCAATAGGATCGGGTCATATCAAAACCTGTCAGGTTCGGGTTATGTGTCTATCTCTAATTACGCTGTGTTACAACCGTAATTTAACACTATGATCAAACATGATATTATCCCAAATATTTTACAGGGGTAAAATATAAAATTTAAGTAATTTTTGCGGTGTGAAATGCAAATATAACGTTTTAAAAAAAATATTTTTACATATTAATTAAGGGGGGGAAAAAAGACAAGGGCGAGGGACACTCGATGATATGAATGAATAAGATAAGGAAAGATATAACAAAGAAATTCTCGCACTCCCTTTGTCTCCTTGTCTGTACCAACAACCAGAACCCTAAAACAAATCACCCTTCACCTCTGCGCCCGGTTCAATTCCTTTCGGATTTTTCACGCGCCGCTGTTTTCCCCCTTTTTTTAATGGCTTGTACATCTGCATCGTCGACTCCGAGCTCTCCTCAGCTTCGCCTGGCCTTGCGTTACAGGGAATGCAGGGAATCACGCGCGGTTCTCGTGGGGACACGGGCGGGAAAGCTCGATGGTCGACGTCTTCGCTTGCTCTCTGTTTCAAGAAGCAGGAGTAAAGGACTGGGACAACGTCGTAATGTTGCTTTGCGGATTGTGTCGGACTCCACTGCTGGGTCGGATACTTTTTCCGGATGGTCCGATTCAGATAGTGTTGAAGATTCCATTGGCTCGGGAAGGGACAGATGGTTTGGAGGTATTTATTTGTTATACTTTTGCACAAACTAATGTTGTTACCACTTGTTTTAGCTGAATTTTGGGCGTCTATTTTGTTCTCAATAGTTGAGTAGAAGAGGGGGGAAAAGGAAGAAAATGTTATCATTTCTATTTGAATTTTGGCTATTCTTTTTGGTGGTTTTTTTGTTTACTTGTGACCAGCTGGTAAAAGCATAACGCTTTGAAGGATTTATCCGAAAATAGTTAACTGATTAAGTTTTTAACCATGTTTTCTTACACTGAATGCTTCTTTACTGTCAATCAAAGGTATTCCGTATCAATGAAGCTGAGATTAATCATATGATATTTTGACGCATAATCTTGAAAATAGCTCTCATGGTTGCATGGGGGTTTGGGCAGATAGTGGGGCGGGAGTAAGGATTCTTATCTTATGCATAAATGGGTTTAAACTAAAATTGTCGTTTTCCATGTTATGGACTAATAACAATTCGTAAGTAGTTTGCTTCTAGGAATTGTGGGAGCTGGATCAGCTGGACTTGTTCTGGTAGCAGGGCTTTCCTTTGCAGCAATGTCCCTAAGTAATCGAAGTGCTTCGAGTAAGTGTTCTATTTCAATTGCACTTGGTTCTATTTTATTATGGTTTTCTATTTTTTTATTTGTTGTTACTTTTTCGCTTTTCTGTCTTTTATTGGACTTAATTAATTGAACAGACAATCATCCCTGGGAAGCGATTTTGAATGCTTGTACCATTTGTTGACTTGCAGGACCAAAGCAGCAGTTGGAACCCTTAACAGCTCAACAGGAAATTTCAATTGATACTGAGGGTGAAAAAGCTGAAGAAACTGGAACTGAAACAGGAATACATAAGGATCTTTCGGCCCCTTCAGAATCCAATGGCAATAGTGCCAGTAATACTGTTCCAGTTCCAGGAGACATGCAAAATGGTGATTCATCTTTGGATGGGGAGTCAGTTTTCCCGGAAACTGAAATTGTCGCTGGCTCTTTTGTTGCATCAAACCTTAAAGAATCAGATAGCAACCTTGATATCGATTCACCTGAAGCAACTTCCAAGACTGAAGACAAATTGATTAATGCCCGGGAAAGTATTGATACTAACTTGTCTGACCCAATAAACCTAGACAATGATTTTGATGAGGGATTACTTGGATCAGAAGGAAAAGATAATTTCAATATCTCGGATTTTTCTTCTAGCTCCAATTCAGTTACTGATCCTTCGGTTGTGAGCTTCTCAGTTAGTTCAGAGTCGGAACCAATTGTTGAACATCAGATTGTACCCGAAGACAATATGGAAACCATTGAATCATCTCTAACTGAAGAAAACATTGAGAGCCAAAAATTGTCTCCGCTCTTAGTTGAAATAGAGAATTCATCTCTGGAAGTGAACAAGTTAAATGAGACTGAGTCATCTGAAACAACTCCCGTGTCAGCACCAGGTAATTCGATAACAATTGAGCAAGGGGACATTGATTATAATGAAAGAAAAGATAGCATACCAGTTTCTGAATCACCAACTCCAAGGAGTTCCTTCTCCCCAGCTGGTATACCTGCTCCGTCTATAGTTTTCTCAGATCTACAGGGACACCCAGGGAAAGTTCTAGTTCCTGCAGTTGTTGATCAGGTTCAGGGGCAGGCACTTTCAGCCCTTCAAGTTTTGAAGGTATTTCATTCTTACTGATATCCAGAATTATTGGAGTATTGAATAATGAGAACTTGTGACATATCTCAATCTTTTCCAGGTTATTGAGGCTGATGCTCTTCCTGGTGATCTCTGTACACGTCGTGAGTATGCTCGGTGGTTAGTGTCGGCAAGCAGTGCTCTTTCGAGGTATAGGTGCCTTCCTTGTTTCTCCTATGCATGGAAGAGTGTGGCCTTTTGGAAATTAGCATGTTAGAGGTACCTTCATGCTCATAAATTTGATCATTTTTTCTGTTTGCAGGAATGTAGTATCAAAAGTTTATCCTGCAATGTATATTGAGAATGTTACTGAACTTGCTTTTGATGACATAACAACTGAAGACCCTGATTTTTCATCGATTCAAGGTTGAGAATAGGATTTCTTATTTTTTGTCATATTGGTAGAGTATCTTTTTGGTTATAATTCATTGTTGCTGATCAAGTTACATATTTCAGGCTTGGCAGAGGCTGGACTTATCTCAAGCAAGCTTTCAAATCAAGATTTATTTAGTAACAATCTAGGTCCTTTTTACTTCTCTCCTGAAAGGTATCCCTGTTCACACATTAAACTTTTGCAAAATTGGTCATCTTATTTATCTTGGTTAATGTTTTCTCCAATACCAATTTCCCACTATTTTATTGCCCGTCTGCAGGTTTATTTTTTTAATATCTAAGAATGATTCTTGATTATTTTCCCAAAGTTTTCTTAACCCATTTCCGTACAACTTATTTGTAAAATGTCAATGGAATATGTGCTTACGCTGACTGAAACCTAAAACAATGAATGGAATTGCATTGCAGTTTTATTTATATAACCATTAATTGCTTTATTTATAGATACAATGGTACTTCTGTTTTGTGGTTGGCCTCTTATTTTGTCCTTTGTTTTTTACTCTAGTCCTCTATCACGCCAGGATCTTATATGTTGGAAAATGGCCTTAGAGAAAAGACAGCTCCCAGAAGCTGACAGAAAGGTTGCTTATGTTTGAGTTTATTTATTTGTTCATTTCATCTTATATGGTTAGTGGATATGTTTGGTATTAATTTTACCGTTGTGGTTATGTAGATCCTCTACCAACTTTCTGGTTTCATAGACATTGATAAAATAAATCCTGATGCATGGCCTGCACTCACGGAAGACTTATCTACTGGAGAACAAGGAATAATAGCACTTGCTTTTGGTAAGTCATCTCAATGGTAATTACTTTCTCTAAGTTTCATCTTATTTTGATGATTGATATGCCTTTGTTATTGTCATTATCCTGATAGGTTGTACAAGAATGTTCCAGCCAAATAAGCCTGTGACAAAATCCCAAGCTGCCATTGCTATTGCAACTGGTGAAGCTTCTGACGTAGTGAGCGAGGAGCTCGCTCGTATCGAAGCTGAATCAATGGCGGAAAATGCAGTATCTGCTCACAATGCTTTAGTAGCTGAAGTTGAGAAAGATATTAATGCTAGTTTTGAGAAAGAGCTTTTGATGGAACGGGAAAAGATTGATGCTGTGGAAAAAATGGCTGAAGAGGCAAAGCATGAACTGGAAAGGTTAAGAGCTGAGAGAGAGGAAGAGAATATTGCCTTAATGAAGAACCGTGCTGCAATTGATGCTGAAATGGAAATTCTTTCAAGGTTAAGGTGTGAAGTGGAGCAGCAGTTGGAAAACATGACGAGTGACAAAGTAGAGATATCATACGAGAAGGAAAGGATTAGCAAACTACGAAAAGAAACAGAGGATGAAACCCAGGAGATTGTCAGGTTACAGCATGAGTTGGAGGTGGAAAGAAAAGCCTTGTCAATGGCCAGGTAAGGAAATAAACTTGATTATTATGTAGTTTTAAAATTGATACTTCAACAACTTAATAAAGAGGAACCAAAAATGACTATCCAGATATATATTAGATGCTTTATTTTATGGGATAATAATTACGAGAACATGGATACTTGATAGAATTTTTTTCCTTATATCTTTGTGGCTAAATAAATTGGGTGAAACTTTGCTGAATTCTCATTTTTTGGCATATCTGCTCAATCAATTGTCACCTTTACCAGGTAGAACTGGAAAAAATGCACCAGGCGTGATTATCACTGTTTAATGATTCCAATTTTTGTATAAATCTCTAAAGTATTTTCTTCAAAATCCATGTTAAAACTGTAAAAGTTTGACCCTCAGCTAACTTGGATTTTTATGATGGTCGTATTAATGTTTCTGCCGTGTTCCTTATCCATTTTTGTGGAAGAAAAATCATGAATAGCTTTGGCTTTTCTTCTTTTGGGGTTAACGCTATCATTTGGAGATTCTGTCTTTGCCCCTTGTTTCCATTTTTGTTTTTCTGAGAGATATGTTCCTGTGTTGTTCTCATTTGATTATGTAATATATGGTACAAAATAAATTCAGGGCTTGGGCTGAGGATGAGGCAAAAAGAGCAAAAGAACAGGCAAAAGCCCTGGAGGAAGCTAGAGAACGCTGGACGAGGCACGGCATCAAAGTGGTCGTAGACAATGACCTCCGCGAAGAGAGTGTTGCAGGAGATACATGGGTAAATGTAGAGAAGCCAGTTGCAGTTGAAGGAACTATTATCCGGGGTGAAGCTTTGTTAGGAAAGCTCAGGATATTGGCTAGTGAAGTAAAAGGCAAATCTAGAGAATTCATCAATAAGATTGTCCTGAGGATGCAGCATTTGATTTCGGTGTTGCAGAAATGGGCCTCCGAGGCAGGTGCAAAGGCTGAAGAATTGAAAGATGGGGCTGTGTCGAAGGCAAGGGGATCAGTACAAGAGGTGCAGCGAAGCACGGCGGGATTTATCTCGGCCGTTAAAGAAGGTGCAAAACGAGTGGCTGAGGATTGTCGTGTAGGAGTTGAGAAACTCAGTCAGAGGTTCAGAACATAACCTCCAAAGAGGTCAGTATTTTGATGGAGACTAATAAATAAATTTTGCAGCTGAGAAGCATGTAATTCTTCTTCTGATCTCTGGTCAGTTCATATTAGATAGTACGAGCTATCAATGCGATGATGTTGTATTAATAATTGAAATCAATTTGCTGCTGCTGCTCTATTTTGTTTGTAGTAATAATTAAATATAAGTTTTGAAAGCTATGAAACACATATTTAAGTTGGTTCAATGGTATGGTTTAAAGCGCGTAAATTTAGTCAATTATTTCTAATTAAAATAAGAACTGAATTGATAAAATATATAATTAAAAGAGATCAAATGTATTATTATACAAATTTATTTAATTGTCACGTAAAGAATTTTTTTTTTGGATAAATAATCACGTAAAGAATTTTAAGGTGACTTAACTGAAACTAAATTAAAATTTTAATAATCCAATTAACAAATTTTTTAATTTAGTGGTTGAAATGGAATCTAACCAACATATTAGTGGCCTTTCGGGTATGTTACCTTATAATTTAATTATAGTGAGATTAGGGATGAGCATGGTTGGGTAAGATGGAGTTTTGGTCGTCCCGATCACAATTCGAGAATTTCATACCCCCATTCAATATTTTATTTGATTTGATTTTTGAAGACTGAAGAGTCTTATCCGCCTTGAAACTGACTCTAAATGTGTAGGTGTTCACTTTAACATGGTTCCAACCTTCGAAACCTTAAGTTTACTTTTTTTTTAATAAAAAAAAACTAAAAGAACAAGAAAAAAGGAAACAAAACCCCAATGATGAGTAAACTCATATGGAGAGAGAAATAAAATAATCTTATTTCAGTTTTATCTGACGATGGAGGAAGGAGATCGAAAACAAAGGAGAAGAGTGATTTTAAATTAAATTTATGAACATCAATATATTTTCGATAAAATAGACCATGTATTTGAAATTAGAAGGTTTTGAAGAGGTTAAAAAAGTTTGGAGGTTAACGATAATCGATGACAACTACGGATACAATTGTTTTAAGATTTTTAAAATTCGAGAGTTGAGTGAGATGCGAGAATTTTTGGGAGGAGAGGGAATGAAGAAAGAAAAAAGAAAAAAGAATGAAGAAATAATAGTAAATATTTTTATAGTAAAATATTATAGGTCATTTTTTTAATCTTAAAAACGATTTCAATAGAAACCCAATTATCACTCTCAAACTTAGTCTATCTACTCTTGAACTTTATTTTTTTTTAAAACCAATATTAAACCTATTTTTTAAGTAAAATACATTGAAATTGAAGAAAGAGCCCCAAAGGTAAAAGAGTTGGGCTTTAAGGCTTTTGAATTGGAGTGATTGAGGAATCAGAACAAGCACGTAGCCACGCCACCATATCTCCCTACGTTTTTATTGAAGCTGAAAGAGGGTTCCCCTTTCCACCCTTTTTTATATATATCTTACAAATCGCTCCCTCGGAACTCTCTTTTCATTTTCTTCCGCTACAATTTTCTCGCCCGATCATTTTCCTTCGGTGATTTTCCCTTCCACCAAGCACTCCCCAATCCCCTGCTCCTCTGCTCTAAATCCTTGCTTGCGATCGCTTAAGATTCTGTCTCTCCTCTAACCGATATCATTCACCGGTACGTTTTTCGATCGCTTCACTTATCATATTTTTTGTGTTTTTTGTTTTTTTACATTCAAGCCTTTATCGCGGATCACGTGACTCGAAAGCCCTAACTCGTTTAATTTGTTTTAATTATTTATGATGTTTATATGGAGTTTTAGCTGTTGCAAGCTCTAAAAATTGGAACTAGATAGTCGGAGTTTGAATTTTATCTTATGTGAATAATGGAAATTGGCCGAAACTAAGTTCAGTAGTTATATTGTGGCTTGGTGAAGAAAAATTCTAGAAAATGCGTCCTTTTTTATGCTGATAATAGACAAATGAAGGTTCGAGAAGTAATTTATTTGTAAATGTAGACAGTTTATTGGGCTCTGTTCTTCTGCAATATTTGATTGTCATTTTTTATTTATGATTTGTGATTTTTTTTCTTGAAATTAAAATTTTAATATTTGCTCCCTACAAATGAATTTTAATATTAATTCTTAGGCTCGTTATTTAGTTGTTTTGCTGTAAAAATGCTAGCGGACAACTTGGCTCCATTGATGAATTATTGTTATGAATGGCTTTAGTTGCATAAGTTGTGCATTAGATGGTTAGTGCCTGGTTTCAGATTTGGATAGTGAGAATTCATCAGTCCTCATTTATTTAATATATGAACTGTATGTTTTCAATTTACTAGAATCTTTCTATATGCGATCTTTGCATTTGATTGTTATTTCAGAATTGCTAAGCATGAGCATAACATTATTGCTCTTGTCACTATGCTTATCACAGCGGCATGGATGTCTTATATGCATATTGAGTATTTTGGAATTAGGTAATGTTTGATGGCATATCTTGGTTGTCCGGTAGATGCATATGCAGATGTGGGGTTGAGGGTAGTGTCAATATGAAACATTGTTTGCTGTTGCAGATTCAGTAAAAGATGCTAATGAAATCTTCATTTTTTGGATAATGAGTGGTAGTAACGTCCATTTTATTGAAGTCATTTTACATGTTTTACATATATTGCTTGATTAGCATCTATTCTGAATCATAGTTTAGTAGTGTGATCCAATATTGAGTAAATCATGAATGTAAGTAGATTTTTCAGGATCTTAATTTCTTCTCTTACTCCCTTTTAGTTGCAATGGCATCTTTGAGTTAGTGGTTGTGCGTTGTTTGTTTGCATAAATGCCTGTTGCAAAACTCAAGGCTGCCAGTTCTGCAGATGTAATGAAATCAGAGGAGCCAAATGATTCTTTGGACACTTTCATCAGACAAGCTATTGGAAAAGAGCCTCTCCTTTCATTTTCAAGGGCTGGAGACAGCTCGGTCCAATGGATTCAATTGCTGCACGCCTTGGATCAACAAGGTACCTGAAAATTAGTTGATGGTTAAAATCATTGGCAAGAAAATATTATATAACTCATGCTACACTACTTGATTTTCTTGCCTATATCTCTGACAGAAATCCCTGGCTGGTCTTTACTCACTCCCCTGAAGGTGCAGATGCAAAAGTGTGACAAGTGTTCACGAGAATTTTGTTCACCCATTAACTACAGAAGGCATATACGTGTGCATCATAGGTTGAAAAAACTTGATAAGGTTTTCTCAGTCTTTGAAACAGAATTAGTCTATTATGTTTATACTTGGTGATTTTCTCTTGCAATTTCTTTTTTCTTATGATGCTTCTTTAAGATTCTAGCCTCTTGGAAATTTGAGGTTTACCTCCGTTACTTCTGATGTTTTTTCCTTTTTAAATCTCTTAGGACTCCGCTAAACAATGTTGTTTTAACATTGTAGGATTCTTCTAAAAATAGGGACCTACTAGCTGCATTTTGGGACAAGGTATTTCTTTCTTCACATTTCCCTGTCTCGCATATTTCGTTTTAAGTTATCCTCTTAGTCATTTGTTGCCGTTCTCATTTATATCATTTACAGCTGTCAGAGGATGAGGCAAAGGAAGTTATATCATTCACGGATGTAGTATTGGAGGTAATTGTTTAATTTTTTTCTCCTGTTGAATCTTTGGTACATCATTTATTAATATTCAAGTGATATCCACATCTGGTTTTCATATTGTATTTGTTAGTTTTGCTGCATTATCTTCTAACCAAATGATTGTTTCTTGCTAGGATATATGTGCTCATATTGTGTGATTATTGATATCGTTTCTCCTTATCTCCTAAACAGTTTCTTCCTTTCTAACTATACCTTCTAGGAAGTTCCAGGATCTTCAGTTATAAAATCATTGACAACACTTGTAAAGAGAATAGGGCTTCCTGCTGTGCCACAAGTTTGCTTGAGGGCAGGTTCTGCTCTTCTGGTAAGGAACATATTTTGTTATGGATCTGAAAGCATGCTAATGCATTCTTATCCCATGGATGTCATATGCCCTAAATCTTTGCAGGACCTTGTCCAAGCTAGACCCACAAGGTTTCCAATATCTTCCCGAGAATTATTAAGTATCCTTGATGATGCAAGTGAGAAGACTTTCCTTTGTGGTGCAGCAGTCTCGATGCAAAAATATATTTTTGATGGGGAAGCAGGAAAGGTTGGTCTTCAAACCAAGAACGTGGTTGCTTGTACCAGCTTCTTGGTAGAACAGAAATTGGTACTTTTCTTTATTTTTCAATTCTTTCAAGGTTGATTTACTCGGAAGTTTTCATGCAAACTTATGAATAATTTGGTCGGCAAGCATATGGCTATCCCTAGTCATTGGGACAACCAGTACAATAGCAGGATAGGCGTGCTTGTGATTCGTGAATCTGTCTACTTTTTAAAATTTTCCCTTTATTGTTTCAAAATCAAATTAATCTTGTTTTTGTTCAGGTTAAAGCATGGCTTGCAGATAAGGATGCTGAAGCTTTGAGGTGCCAGAAGTTGCTAGTGGAAGAGGAAGAAGCTGCCCGGAAGAGGTGCATATTACTTATTCCCCTTGTTTAACAAAGTAATTTTTTTTTTTATATTTGACGCATGTGAAAAAGTTGGACCGTTTGCAAATCTTCTCCTTCCCTCTTTTCTCTAAAAATGTTCCTCTTAGCATGACAGTAAGTGATTCTCTTTTAATCATCTCTGAGTAATGTCTGGGAGGACAAAGATCAGAGAAGTATTTTGAGTAATTTCTTCTTTTCCAGGAGTTAACAAACCCGAACATGTGGTATAATTACTAAAATACTTCCAAAATATGTGATGCAGACAGCTTTTCTCCTCAACTGATTTAAAGAGTGAAAAAAGGGAGAAGATACTGGTGTAAAAGTAATTTTGCATTTCTTGAACAGAAATGAGTAACTATAATTTGAAGGTGTAGAACTTGTATATGGAAAATTAATCATGTGATAGGTTTGGCAGTGGTACCAGGTAGTTCCTAACACCTAAGTTTATGTTATTGATTAATGACATAATTCTTCTGAAATAGTTCAACATCTTACAAAAAGAAAAATGGAAGAACCTTTGATTAGCTGATTCTTTTCATGATTCTTCACTAGGCAAGTTGAGCTTCTTGAGAGAAAAAGACAGAAAAAACTTAGGCAGAAGGAGCAGAAAGCTAAGGAACAAAAACCCTGGGAGACGGAAGAAGGTAA